AGAATAGATAATAAAATATAGAATTAGAATGGAATAGAATAGAATAGATAATAAAATATAGAATTAGAATGGAATAGAATAGAATAGATAATAAAATATAGAATTAGAATGGAATAGAATAGAATAGATAATAAAATATAGAATTAGAATAGAATAGAATAGAATAGAATAGATAATAAAATATAGAATTAGAATAGAATAGACTAGATAATAAAATATAGAATTAGAATAGAATAGAATAGATAATAAAATTAGAATTAGAATGGAATAGAATAGAATAGATAATAAAATATAGAATTAGAATGGAATAGAATAGATAATAAAATATAGAATTAGAATGGAATAGAATAGATAATAAAATATAGAATTAGAATAGAATAGGCAATATAATATAGAATAGAATAGAAAGGAATAGGACTAGAATGCAGAATAGAACAGAATGGAATGGAACAAATAATAAAATATAGAATTAGGATAGAATAGAAAATATAATGCAGAATAGAATAACTTTATTGTCACTTTGAATGCCCATGAATGCAGCATACATTAAATGAAATACAGCTGCATACAGCTGTGAAAGGGTCAGCCAGGGACCTGGGAATCCAGGGGAAGCCTTCTGCCTCAATCTTGCACCCCAGCCCCAAATTCTGTCTCCCCCCCCCCAAGGTGGGGTAGTCCTGCCCTTAGTGGAAAATGGAGAGGGGGGGAGGAAGGAAGATAAGGAGGAGGAGGAAGGGAAGAAGGAGGGAGGGAGAAAGGAAGGAAAGAGAAAGGAAAAAAGAGAGGATGGAAGGAAGGATGGAAGGAAGGAAAGTGGGAGGAGGAAGGAAGGAAGGAAGGAAAGAAAAGGAAGAAAGAGAGGATGGAAGGAAGGAAAGTGGGAGGAGGAACGAAGGATGGAAGGAAGGAAGGAAAGAGGAGGGAGGGAGGATGGAAGGAAGGAGGAAGGGAGGAAAGGAGAAGAGAGGAGAAAGGAAGGATGGAAGGAAGGAAAGAGATGGCAGGAGGGGGAAGGAGGAGGGAGGGAGAAAGGAAAGGAAAGAAGGAAAAAGGAGGGAAGGAAAGAGGAAGAAGAAAGGAGGGAAAATATAAAAGGAGGGAGGGAGGGAGGGCTGTGGGAAGGGAGGGAGTTTCTAAGGGGGGCGGGGGAGGAAAGGGCTCATCCCTGGATCTGATGGCTTCCAAAACGCGACTGAATCCTCCACCCCGGTCGTGAAGACGCGTCCTCCTCGGGGAATGCGGGGAGGCCGATTGGGGCGGGCAGCGCTCGCTCTGCACGAGCTCAGAGGCACAGCTGCCTTTCCTCCTCTCTCCCTCCGCCTCCCCCCCCTCCCGCACTCACACTCGGGTCCTTGCAGAAATAAAGCCCCCTCCCCTGAATTAAGCAGCCTCTTTCAACTATGGGTGGGGGATGATGGGAATTGGGGTTGCAGCCGGGCCAACCGGTGGAGGGGAGGGGGAGACTAAATAGAATTTCCAGGCATTCATTCCAATTAGCGATCCCTGGAAGCCCCGCCGCGCTCTAAAAGGGGAAGGGTCCGCTTCTCCCCCCCCCCCTCCCTGCGGGTTACCTGCCGCCTCGTTCCCCTTTAAGGGCCCATCGCTCCTTTCTCTTCATTGTCTCCAACGGCGGCCAATCAGCGACCCTCTTGGGGAGGGGTGGACGTCCCTGATTGGCCGAGGCGCAGACCCTCCCCTCTTCCTTCAAAGCCCCCTGCCCAGGCTGCTGTCCGCCGGCCCAGGTGCTGAAACCTGCCGCCCTTTGCCAGCCCAGCCCCGGCAGCGCCCAGGCCCACCGCGACGCCCCCCGGGCACCGCACGCGGGTCGGGATGAGCGGAGGGGTCTACGGAGGAGGTAGGGCTGCCCCTCGCCCTGCTCTCGCCCCCCACCCCTGCTCTGCTCTGCTCCGGGGCATCGGAAGGCGGGCGACCGGGCGCTGGGAGTTCTAGCAGCCGCGCTGGAGCGCCTTGAGCCGGGAGCTGGGTTTGAATCCTGCTCTCTTTGCCAGAGAGGCCGAGCGAGGGAGGAGGATCGGAGGTCCTCCCCCTTTCACTGCTGCGTGCGGCTTGGCTCACTTGCTTAAGCGGCCTATGGGCAGGAATGCGCCGTAGGGGACTGGCCATCCGCGGTCCGTCTTCAGGGGAGCAGTGGGGGGGGACGACTCGGATGCCCCGGAGGGGTCCATTCCCGCGACCCTCTCCTCCCCCTGTCAGTCGCCCCCTCCTCCTCCCAATTTCGCAGCCACCTTCCCGGACAGACAAAAGAAGCCAACTTTGCGGGCTGCCGAATGGAAATGAAAGAGCCGGAAGGGGCCCCTCGAGGCCATCTAGTCGTCGTCCCCCGTGCAGCCCAGAGATCCAGACTGCCGCCTGCTGATCCCATATTCCTTAAATCTGGCCCTCCCCGTTGGAGGCACTTGGGTGAATTAATCCCCTGGATGAGTTGGAAGTGTTAAAATGCGAATTAAAACGCCTCCTTTAGGCTGTAAGGGAACAAATTGGGGTGGGGGGGCTGCATCCCTCTCCCCTCCGCTCTCCCTCCCTCCTCACCTGTGTCGCTGATGCCTTCCTTGCAGACGAGGTGGGGGCCCTGGTCTTCGACATCGGCTCCTTCTCCGTCCGGGCTGGTTATGCTGGTGAGGACTGTCCGAAGGTAGGAGTGGGACTCCCCCTTCTCCTTGGCAGGGGCGTTCTTTGCAGAGCCCCCCCCCCAACAATCCTGGACTCCCCTGCCCCACGGCGCCTGCTCTGTTTCCAGGCGGACTTCCCCACCACGGTGGGCCTGCTCTCCCACGACGAGTCGGCCATGGAGCTGGATGGAGACAAGGAGACCAAATCGGGGAAGGCCTACTACATCGACACCAACTCCCTCCACGTCCCGCGGGAGAACACGGAGATCGCCTCCCCCCTCAAGAACGGGATGAGTACGAGGGGAGGGCCGGGGAGGGGGGGAGGCCAAGGGGGGACCGTGGCCCTTACCCGCTGCGCTGGGACCCCCCTCCCAGTCCTTGAGTCCACCGGCTCACGGTGCACCTGGAAGGGGGGAGAGAGAGAGAGAAGGAGAAAGAGAGAGAAAGAGAAAGAGAGAGAAAGAGAGAGAAAGAGAAAGAGAGGGAAAGAGAGAGAAAGAGAGAGAGAGAAGGAGAAAGAGAGAGAAAGAGAAAGAGAGAGAAAGAGAAAGAGAGGGAAAGAGAGAGAAAGAGAGAGAGAGAAGGAGAAAGAGAGAGAAAGAGAAAGAGAGAGAAAGAGAAAGAGAGGGAAAGAGAGAGAAAGAGAGAGAGAGAAGGAGAAAGAGAGAGAGAG